GTGACATTCTGCTGACCAGGAAGATTATCCGCGATAATCTGGGGGAGGAGCTGAAAGAAAAGTTTCCTTTACGCTATAATGCACGTACTCGTGGTCACCGTTTCATGCTTCAGAGGCAAGAGTCCTACGGACTTCCGTCAGTGTACCGTCTATCCAGGAGAATGACCAACATTTGGAATGCTCTTCCGGCGGATGTGGTGGAAGAGGAAAATGATGAAAAGTTCAAACCGAGGCTGGATGATTTTCTATTAATCAGGCAACAAGCTGATGGGTAACTTGTCCTGATTAGGAGAAGAGAAGGCTCATACGGGTAGAGTCTCAACTGCCTTTCATTCCAGAACGTGAAGGTGAAGGTGATGAAAATATAATCCATGCAGCCTCGAGAAGATCTAGAATCAGCCATATTCTCAAGCCAAAATTCTTCACGCACAGTGTACATTCGACAGAGTGCAATAGGAGGATGCTAATTCAAGGTATTCTGCCCTTTTGGGGACCCTCCGATTGTCAAAAATAGACAAAGGCTCAAACGACTCTACCATCGTCGCCGTTACGTGATATTATTCCTAATGTGGTGACATGTTTGAACTCGTACTCCCTAGCGGGCAACTTTTCTGTGTGGTTGCCAATTCAACACAAACAACCGGGTTTCGTGTATAACGAAGTTTCGTCGGTTTAAATCACCAAAATAGCTATCTCTTCTTCCCCCTTTTTGCATCTCCGTGTTGCGGATTCCCACTTCTTCTAATCGGAATGTCTTTTGATTAGCAGCGTTGGTTTCACCTTCATTCGTATCATATAATTAGGTCGCATACCCAGTCTAACCTCCACAATTAGCGTTCCATGTGCCGGATTGCGCGTGTGTAGCAATGGAAAAAATCAAGTCATTTCCCTTGTTCCTGCGTTACTTCTTAGAAAGGTGTAGCTAGCATATGATTGAGCATTTATGTCATTTATGCGCGCCAAAACACGTGTGCTAAGTTATCGATCCATGCGGTCGATCATCATTTATCCAAGCTAACCTGGATAGAAAAGTCAAATCGAACGGTTTCGATGGCCCGGATTTGATGATTTATCGCATTTTACGAGTCAGTGTTACATGTACCTTTTCTCTGTGTTGTTAATTTGTCATGTTGATTTGATTCGTTAGAGATGATTCAATCAACAAAATCAGGAGTAACCGAGATCGGCCTGTAGAAAGAAATTACTAATTCTCGGCCTACAGATCAACCTACCTGTAACCTATCGATCTCTAAAAGGGGAGGACAGTTCGTACTCATCTAAGGTAGTAATTTGCGAAACTATTCTGAGGAAACCTAACTAAACCTGTTTTTTAGGTGCAGCTGATGCACCGGATGGGCTATTTAGATGAAGCTATATTCCAGATGCATTATTATATCGGATACACTAATCGTCCGGGATGTCGATTTTCGTGTTGTCGAGTTCTCTGAGCAGAAAATGTTTTAGGACGTGGAGTGGCCATTCTAGGCCCTAAAATCGCAGTTTATGTTGCCCAGTATGAGTATAAAAGTTTGAAAACAACACTTTCAGCTCCGCGACCGTCCATCAACCCCCCATCCCCCACGCTACCGACACTAACGTAGTTCAGATTCGCACACAGGTAGAGCAATTTTTCCTCAATAAGCCATTGTTTGTAAACCAAAAATTACGGTAGCTTAGAGCCTAGGCATATCGGTGCCACGGTCGCAATGTTTTCATCTTTCGAACTTCAACAGATCACCCAGCCGCCGCTGCCCATCTTCCGATTTCTTGTGTTCAGCCAAGCAGCCTTTTTATGACCACCGTCCTCTTCCTGAAATTTCATTGTACATTTCTATGATTCATAAGCAAAACATTCATATATAAAAATACTAATGCTTATATATATATATATATGTATATATATATATATATATATATATGATGCAAGCGTCCTTATTTCCCAGTGATTTGAGATTGACTTTCTCACTCCTTCTGTGCTCATTGTCCAATCCGTGATGGCTTCAACAGACACGATAAATCCAGCCTGTTATCTTATTCTGAGTGTCTAGATGAACTGCACGTCTGCAATTATTCAGTTGGGCTGAGTTTGACCAGAACCGAAGTTGTCTATAAAAGTGAGGAGGTATATCAACGAATTCACGTGTCCACGCTTGTGTAGATATGAAGACCTCGTCTGCGAAGCTTCGTTATTTGAACTCAAAATTATATCATACTCTAGCTTGCTGGCTTCTTTCCTTCTCCC